CATGTCACAGGTATTTTCTCCCTAGAAATAAATACGTTTTCTGATAAATCGCAGCTTACCCATGGACGGCACCGTGCATAGAGGCATCACCCTGCCAGGGATGATGGAGAAAAGGGTCACAGCGGGAGGTACAGAGGGCAAGGGTGGGCAGCAGGGCAAGAATGACCAAGGTGCGGTCCACACTGAACCCCAACCTGGCTCGTTTCACCAATGCGGCCAAAGCAGCTCCTCCAACGACAGCCCTGCCTTCTTTTCCTTTTTTATACCGGAGCCAGAGGGCCCAAAAACCATGGCCAATGAAGGAAGTCATGGGTATAACTACACAATGCTAGAGGAAGCCAAGCATGTGTCTGCACACCCAACACCTTCCTAAAGCCTGAGGCATAGGGCCTTTCAGACCTCCCTCCCTTCATTAGAAACTGAATTTTCAGGGAAAACTCAGGCACAAGAACCACAGGGCCCATACCAATTCTTGCCCCAGTGTGAGGGGGCTCAGGACACAGGAAAGAGAACTACCCCTTTCTACTTCTTAGAAACCTACCCACGGGGGTGGGGGTAGGGTGCTAGATGGCTCAGTGGCTAGGAGCATATACTGCTCCTGCAGAAGACATGAGTTTGGTTCCCAGTGCCCACACCAGGTGGCTCACATGGGACACCAGTTCCAGGGGATCCAGCGCACTCTTCTGGATTCTGTGAGCCACTTCACTCACGTACACACACACACACACACACACAATTAAAAATAAATCTTATAGCCAGTCAGTGGTGGTACACACCTTTAATCCCAGCACCGGGGAGGCAGAGGAAGGTGGATTTCTGTGAGTTTGAGGTCAGCCTGGTCTACAGAGCAAGTTCCAGGCCAGCCAGGGCTCTTACACAGAGAAACCCTATCCCAATCAATCAATCAATCAATCAATCAATCAATAAACAAACAAACAAATAAATCTTACAGAAAGAAAGAAACCCAGAGATTGAGGGATTCTGAAAATGCTGAGAGGCCATGAAGGGAGGGTGAAGGCCTGAGCAACCCAGAGGTGTAATCTAATGTAAAGGACCTCACCCAATGCTACAGCAGTGTAATCTACAGGATCACACCCAATGCTACAGCAGTGTGAGCTACAGGATCACACCCAATGCTACAGCAGTGTGAGCTACAGGATCACACCCAGTGCTAACGCAGGCTCCACCTCCACCACCTCAGACAGCTGCTTTTCTGGAAGGGGAGGGAGGAAACCAGAGTCTCCAGCACTCCAAGTTTGTTCATCTCTTCAGCTGTGGAAATGTAGCTAGGTCCAATCTCTTACAGAGACTATTCTGAGTCGGGGAGAACAGGTGAGGCTAACCAGGGCCGCCCTCAAAGCAGTAGTCCCTTTCCAAAATATCAACTTGGTCCATATATTGCATTCTTGAAAGAAAAGGAGTTCACTGGAAGACTTTTTCTCAGTTTTCTTTGGTGCTAAGACTTGACCAGTGAGCAGTTTAAGGGCTGAGGTTTGAAGATCTTGCCCTCACCCTTGCCCCGTATCTGTCTGCAGCTCAGCTCAAGGCCTGGCTCAGTATGCGTGATCATTAAGCGCCTGCAGCATGAATGGGCCACCTATGGGTTCCTGGAGCTGAAGGAGAAGCCACACTCTCATTACTATGTAGGTACAGTGTGTCTTGGTGCCAGGCTCTATGCTGGTGTTTGGCTTGGCCGAGCCACCTTCCTAGTGAGCTCAAAGACATCCCTTGCAGGCCCCTTCTTCTGGAACACTGTTGAGATGTGGTTTTCTGCCTGCAGGCCCAAAGCCAAGAGTGTGACTTATGTGTTGAAGACATTCAGCAGCAAAGCATCCCAGCAGGCCTTAGAAAAGACTGTGTTTTCATCCACCCTCACCCGAGCACCAGGTCAGCTCAGCTTCCTCGCTGTAAACAGGCAGAATTGGAAACTTAATGAGAGACAGGCAGACTTCCTTGTGGACAACAATAAGGCCAGTGACTTCTGAGATCCCAAATAATCTTGCCACCAAAGGTCCTGTGGGAGAACTGCCTTCACTTGGAGTATGACTGCAAGAGATCGCACACACATTCTCCAGCCTACCAAGGCATTGCACTGTTGCTCATGGGTACCTGACTGAGGCAAGGAACCAGGGAAAGAGGCCAGCTCTGCCTCATGTCTGTCTCAGCACCTCTACCAACACATGGTTCATTTCATCAAGAGTAACCAGCAAAAGGGGGTGGGGGGAGCTGGGGATATGGCTCAGTTGGTAGAGTGCTCACCTCCCATGCACAAAGTCTTGGGTTTGACCCCCAGCACCTCATAAACCAGGCCTGGTGGCATGTGTCTGTAATGCCAGCACTTGAGAGACAGAGGTAGAAACAGGAGCATCAGAAGTTCAAGGCCATCTTTGACTACATAGGGGCCAGCCTAGGGTACCTGCCTCAATAGAAGGAAGGGAAGGGAGATGAAGGGGAGGGAGGTGAGGAGAGAAGGGGAGGGGGCGGGAGGGGAGGGAAGAGAGAGCTCTAACTATGATGGAGTATGGCCCTTCTACCATACACAATTATAAAACAAGGGCCAGTAAAACGGTTCACAGGTAAAGGTACTTTCCACACAAGCCTGGAGACCCCAGTCTGATCCCTGAAACACACACAGATGTGGAAGAGGAGAGTCTTCACAGAATTGCCTCTGACCTCCACATGTGTCTGCAGCACAAACATCCACACACACATAGCATGCACATGCACATACACAATAATAAACCATTTAAAAAAATAGAAAATGAACAGAGCCTACAGGACCCATGTGGCATTATTGGAAGCCCCTGAAGTAGAAAGGCAAACAGGAGAAAAAGGAGTATTTGAAGAAATAATGACCAAAAAGCATCCCACACTGGACTAAGAACTCAGCACTCAGAAGGCAGAGGCAGGCAGATCTCTGAGTTCAGACCAGCCTGGTCTACGGAGCAAGTTCCAGGACAGCCTAAGCAAGGCTACACAGAGAAACTCCATCTTGAAAAAAACTAAAACAACAAACCAACCTATGGGTATTATTTTTAACTAAGTGTGTCTGTGCATGGGCAGGTGCCCGCAGAGTTCAGATGAGGGCATCAGATTCCCTGAAGCTGAAGTTATTGACAGTTGTGAGCAGTCATGTGGGGTCCTCTGCAAAAGCAGTAGGTGCTCTTAACAGCTGAGATGTCTCTCCCGCCCCACTGTAAACATTGTGTTCCACTGTAGCTTTACTCTATTGTAGTTATTGTGTGTAGGAAGGAGAATGCCATGGTAGGTATGTGAGGGTCAGAGGATAACTTTAGGGAGTCACTTCTTCCACCATGCAGGTCTAGGGGATCACACTCAGCTTGTCAGACTTGGCAGCACCCACTTTTCCCTGCTGAGCCACCTGGCCAGCCCCCTTCCTAGCTTTAATACGCATTTTTCCCGTATTGGGCAGGTTGGATGTTCTCAGATGTTAACAGCATAGTGTGTCCTTTCTTCTTTCACAAAACAATTGTTTTTATTTTATGCGGATGGGTGTTTTGTCTGCAGCATGTGGGTACACCATATGTGTGCGGTGCTGGTGGGGTCCAGAAGGGGGCATCTGATCCCCTGGATCTGGAGTTACAGACTCTTGTAAGCAGCCCCGTGGACAGTGGGATTGAACCCGGGTCCTTTGGAAGAGTAGTCAGTGCTCTTAACTACTGAGCCATCTCTCCAGCCTGCCTTGCATCCTTTCTTAAAGCCATTTTCTTCACTTATTTGAAGTTATTCTATCCAAAAATGAAAGTGTCTCAAACATTAAAAATAGAGACATAGCAACTATAAACATTTGTAAACTAAACAATAGAGCCCCAGAATGTATGAGGCAAACTGTCGGCAGACAAAAACTAGACAGAGCTGTAATGATAACTGGAAACTTCCACAGGCCACTTCATTAATGGATGGAGGAACTAAACAGAAGAGCAGTAAATGGGGCTGGGCAATGGATCAGCAGTTAAGAAAATGCACTTCTTAAACCAGCATATCCTAACTACATTCTAAGCATTTCTCCTAATACCCACAGATAAGCACAGGTCTCACCCCTCATTAAAGAACATCCAGCAGCAGATGGGGACCATTATAGAAAACCCACACTTGATCAAAATGCGGAGAACATGTGACCCTGTGGTGCCCAGTGAGGGCATCAGATTCCCTGGGGCTGAATAAACCTGAACATCTACAACACAACTCCTGTTCCTAAGGCTCAAGGATGATTGTGGAAAAGGTGCACGTGGTGGTTTGAAAATGGTTCCCATAGGCTCACAGGGGGTGGCATTCTTGGAGGAATGTCGTCACTGGGGATGAGCTTTGAGGTTTCAGAAGCTCAAAGCCAGACGCAGTGGCTTTCTCTCTCTGCCTGCTGCCTGCAGATCCAGACGTAGAACTCTGGGCTCCTTCTCCAGCACCATCTCTGCCTGTGTTCTGCAATGCTTCCCGCCATGACAATAATGAACTAAACCTCTGAACCTGTAAGCCAGCCTCAATTAAATGTTTCCCTTTATAAGAGCTGGTGCGGTCATGGTGTCTCTTCACAGCAACAGAAACCCTAAGTCAGAGCAGAAAGGTTGTAAGGGCCAGAACAGGAAGTTTGCTGTGTGGCTGCATCTCCTAGAAATGTCAGAGAAGCCATACCTGTCAAGCCTCACCAACATGGCTGCCTTAACAATACCGGAAAAAGAACAAGCCAATAGGCACACTGACATGGAATGGAAAAATCTTACGGGGCCTCAACCCTAAATAATGAACTACAGGCAAATAAGTCTTCCTAGGTAATGGGAGAAGGTGTGACCGAGGGCAACCCTACAAACTGAGTCTTGCTCGGTCCTCACTCCCCAGGGGGAGGGGCCTACAGTCAGTTTCTCTCTCCTCTCATCTCTCTCCATCCCTCCCCCTCTCTCCATCCCTCCTTCTCTCCTCTCCATCCCTTCCTTTCTCTCCATCTCTCTCCTTCCCCATCCCACTGACCCCTGGCCTTGTTTCAGGACAAGGATGAACAAGAATGAGATTGGAAAGCTCTAGAAAAGCCACCACCTACCACCTAGCAAGGTCACACATACCTGGAAAGCTCAGCACATCACACACCTAACCCCGACCAACTGTGTACCTGGAAGGCAGCTCCAGGACTACAGACCACTCCTGTACAGTTTCCTAGAGAATTCCCTCTCTGGTGGGTCCAAGGCTTGTACTGGCCCTTCTGTGGTCAATGACATGGTAAGTAATTTCTCCACCTACAATGCCTTTTTGGAACAATGAACCCATTTACTTTTCCCAACAACTCTATGAACTAATCAATTACCTATCTCACTAAGTACAGGCTGAGAGACAGAACTCAGCTCAAGGTCGCCCAGCACTGGCTTCAACCCACACTCCTCCTTTCCCTCTGTGCCTTCTTCAGTCTGAATTCCCAGCAGATGAGCTAAGAGCAGCATGGACCAGGACTACCTAAGCTCCAGGAAAGGTGGAACAGTGGGGACCAGGATTACCTTGGCTCCCACAAGGATGGGACATTTAAGCCAGCCCTTGAGATACCTCTCTTCCTCCCAAGAAACAGACATGAATGTCTCCCTAAGTCTCCCTAAGACTGCAAATGAGGACTCAGCCTGGAGGCCAGATCCGGTGGGGGAATCCAATACAGGCCTGTGACTCCAAGGCACACTGGAGCTCCCACCCAAGGGAGCTACCCATCTGGGGAGTCTCGGGTGTCAGTGCTACCCACCTATGCACCAGGAAGTGGCACTAAAAGCCCCGTGAGAAGGATGTCAGGATGTCAACTCCCAGAACATAGCATCTCTGGAGCGTCTCTGGAGTTGTCTACTAGGTTTCACTACAGAAGTATTAGGGCAGCAGACAGAGCTGTGAGAGGAGCTCTAGAGGCCATTCGTGAGCAGGTAGCAAACGTGCCCGGGCTCTTCAAGGGCTGGAGGAGCACTAGGCGTAGGGGCTCCTCAGGTAGAAACTGCTGCTTGCCCCCAATCAGACCTCAGCACACAGACAGCAGGTTACCAGCACAGAGGCATGTCGAAGGCCCCCACTCCAATTCCAACCTGTCTGGACAACTTCCCCTCCTAAGTGAAAGTTAAGACACAAGCGAATAGATCCCAACGAGTTGATCTGGCTGGAACTCTGCCCAGTCAGGCTACACAGATCTCAACTGCTTCATGGGGATCGGAGAGTGGGTACAAGCTGCTGCAGCATCGAACCAGGCTGAGAGGTGCAGCCTCAACAGATGCACGCATGCATGCATGCATGCATCCATGCACACACATGCATACACATATCCAAATACCCCTGAGACCTCACCATCAGTGTGTGCCTTATCTTCCCACAGGAGTGTGACAGCTGTCACTCTGCAGGCTGGTTCCCACCTACCCTGAAGGGAGGTGTGTCCTGGGTGGGAGCAGCTGTGGCAGACTGGATGCCAACTACATATTCCTGGGAGGAGCCAGGGGCTGCCTTGCTTCTAATTCCTTGACACTTCATCTTAAAGCTTAAAGGAATGTGGGAACTGCCAGGCGAGGAGTGGGAGAAGCAACAGCCACTTCCTGTTCAAGCTCAGTCTGTGGGACAATCCACATGAGCAGCCCTCACCCCAAAGGAACCCCAGCCAAGCCAGGCATGGTGACACATGGCAAGACCCTGTCTCAAAAAATGAAAGACAGACAGACAGACCAAGACAGGTCTGCCCACAGACACAAATGCTGACAAGTTTTAACACATGCCTTTTCAGCTAACACAGAGAGGAGCCATGTCGTGCCAACCCTGGGCAGAGGTTCCAGGTGGCCAGTCTGGAAGCAAGCATATCACATCCAGTTGGTTCCATCAGTGCTGAGGGTCAAATGTGGATCATGGGTCCCTCACCCAGCAGCTCAGGGGCCTGTCAACCCCCAGCAGCATTTCGAGCCTGCTCATGACCTGGTACTCCTGAAGTCAGAAGCTACCGAAGGCAGCGCCCTCAGCAGCGAACACAACCGCCAGGGCTGATTCTCCTGGTCTGGGCAGCTCACACAGAGCAGGAGCCCAGGCCTGGAAAGTGATCACCTGCGAGCCTTTCTCTGCCATCCTAGCTTGCTAGTGTTAGCAGACATGAGCAGCCAGTGACAAAGTGGACCTACGGAAGAAATCAGAATCTAAGTGGCATCCTAGAGCAGAGCTCATTGGCTGAGCAGGCCTCCCAACAACTGGCTGGGGTGCACTTGCTCCCAGCACAGGCCTCCTGCAACCATCAGAAGTCAACCCTGTAATAAACACACTGATGAAAGCACAGATTTGTATCTTTACCATTTATTTCTTAAAATCTTATTCAAAATATTAAATAATACAATTTCAGATATGAAAAAAAACTACTGCGATAAAACAGTCCAGGTCTATGTGACTATGCTGCGCATCCCTCAGACAGTCGACTGTCCCTGAAGGGGAGGACAGTCCTGCTGCTTCAGTGGCTGCTGGCTCACCTGGGCTTTACTGAGCACACAGCAAAGGCTATGCTTTCTGGAGAGTTGTAATGAAGCTCCGTAGTCAACCATGGTTCAAATCACACATTTACATCCCGATCAACTCTTAAAACAGGCTAACATGAAATACAGTAAAGAATTCCAGTTGCTGGGGGCGGGACAACATAATAAAACGTGGCAGGAGTCTGAATGTCACTATTGCACAGATCTGTGTGTAAACTTTATTCAGATTATCACTTTAACTGCAGGATTGAGACACAGCATCATTTAAGTGATAATGACCTCTAAAGTCTCCTCAATTTACTGTGCAGCAAGAAACAAACTGAAAAATTCTGATCTAAGTTTTAACTCTGCTCATCACCTGAACCCTTGGAACTTGTGCTAAAACCAAGTGCTGACTACAAGCAACCAGTGTTTATGGGTTAAATATTCTACCAGGTTCCACCCTAAACTTCATTCAGTAATCGAAACCAAAAACTGATATCTAGCTAACATTTCAGCTGTGTTCACTGGGAATTGCAGTCTATTTTGCAAGAATTCCTAAACAAGTTTAATGTGTGATTGGTAAAGCAGCAGCCACATTATCTTACACTGTTTTAAGTGCCTAAAAACATCCAAAGCAGTTTTTTTTTAAATAATTACATTTATTTACTCTGTGTGTATAAGCATGTGTGTGTAGGTGCACAAATGCCATGGCACACATGTGGAGGTCAGAAGACAACCTGCAAGAATCCACTCTTCCCCTCTGCCACTCAGGTCCTGGGGACTGAACTCAGGCTCTCAGGCTTGGCAGCAAGCGCCCTCACTGACTGAGTCCCCTCACCATCCATCTTCCAATGCAGTTTTGAGAGAGAGGAAAATGTGTTACTTTAAAGCAAAGCATTATAATCACAATATCCTTGTACATTGTAAAGTTTGGTACCACACACACAAAGAAATGTGTTTGAAAATATGCTATTTGCAAGTGGGTGGGGCGGCCAAACCTGTAGTACCAGCACTTGAGAGTCCAAAGCAAGAGGACCAACTGTTCAAGGCCAGCCTAGGCTATTTAGTGAGACCCTATCTCAAAAATTAGAAACAGAATCAAGGAAAGAGGAAAAGGGCATTTGGATGGCAGCGAGTGATGCAAAGCAGCAGTGCTCAGCCCTGGGAGACTGCAGCTCTGGTCTGGGGTCTTTCAAAGAGGAAGGACACTGCTGCCGGAGGCACGATGAAGGGAAATAATAACAACTACACAAAAATATACAATAACGTTTAACTCACAGTTCAGATACCTGATTGAATCTAGCTCTAAAGAACAGATTAAAAAATTAGATACTCCTTATTTGTGACATTTAGTTCCCAAAGCACCAAGGCCAAAGAGAGTGCCCCCTCTTAGTTAAGTACCACTTGCCTGTGGCAGAATTCTGCATGACATCATATAAAAGTCAAGCAAAAAAAATGACAGAAGAAGCAAACCCCAGTCACAGTGCTTTAGAAAATATAATCATTGGTGATCTTCAGGGAAGGCATGGCCTCATTCACATTCTGGTCCAGACGATGGTACTCTACTGTTTTGGAACACAGGCCATCACGCCACTTCCTGCTTTGAACTAGGAGGAAAATCTGAAATAAAACAAAGCAATTAGACATGTCAAAGAGAAAACGTATCTGGTAACGTTTATGTAAAGTGCAGGATCTTGTTTAGGCTTGGGGACACAGAAGCTTATCACAGTAATAAAATGACAGTGGGCGGGGGTGGAGACCAGGAGTCTACTTGCCCCACAAGTACACTCAGCTCAGGTCAGTTAACAAGGGACTCCGTAGTAGTCTGCTGCTTTCTGTCACTGGGTCACTGACACTCAGAGCTGGAAGACATTCTGAAATTAACTGGTCCATTTTGTCATTTCTCAGATAAGAAAATTAGGAAGAGGAAGACAGACAGCTTGAGTCACAAGGCAAGTCACAAGAACCAAGCTCTCAAGAGCACCATACATTGAGGAAGCTGAGCTTGAGTTCCTTTAGAATTCAGTAGCATTAAGTGACACCCCCACCCCGTTAGCTTATACCTAGGTTATTAGGTTACTCCTTTAACCCAGGAAAGCAATTCTAACAGAAATAGTCATCATGGTGCTACCTCTGAACCAAAACTTGGAATCATCTAACTGTCCAATAGGAACAGAGCACAATCAATTATGCAAATATTAAACCATATTTTTAAATAATATGTTATGGTGCCAAAGTGGACGGCAGAAAACTCATGAGACCTCAACTCTACACAAAGAAATACAGGCAACTAAGAGATGTTAAGAGCTGTAAAGAACACACCAACTGGTTATCCAATAAACAGCTCTGAAAACATACACAAGCCAGGCAGTGGCATGCCTTTAATCCCAGCACTCAGGAGGCAGAGGCAGGCGGATCTCTGTGAGTTCAAGTCCAGCCTGGTCTACAGAGTGAGTTCCAGGACAGCCAGGACTACACAGAGAAACCCTGTCTCAAGAAAGAAAAAAGAAATTACATCATGCGTGTATATCTGTGGACCAGAAATACACTAAAATTTACTTTAATGCTCTGAGTAGCAGCTTAAATATTTTTTCCCCCTAAAGTCTTCAGATTTCTGAATTCTCTACATTAAATGTATTGTTCTGGGAGTTTGTTTGTTTACAGCCAGATCCATTTATTTATTTATCTTACTTACTTACTTATTGCCAGATCCCTTGGAACTGGAGTTATAGGTTATGAACTACCTTGTGGGTGCTGGGATGGGCACTTGAAACCCAGCCCTCTGCAAAAGCAGCCAGTGCTCTTAATCACCGAGCCATCTCTCCAATCCCCGGATGTTTATTTTTGAGACACGGTTTCATACAGTCTAGTTTGGCATTGAAGACTAGTGAGCCACCTGCCTCTACCTCCCAAGTATCAAGACGCCAAGACTACAAGCATGTATCACCACACCGGCTATACATAAAGACCTTTTGACCCTCCTCCCTTTTTCTTTTTTGAGGCAGGGTCTTAAATATATACCCCAAGCTATCCTGACCCTCAATAGTCAATCAAAGATGACAACGAATAACCTTGAATCTCGGATCCCCTGAATTCCCCTGGAGTTACAGAAGTGTGTTACCATGTGCAAGTTTATGCGGTGCTGGGTATGAGCCCAGGACATCATGTATGCTAGAAAGTACTCTACAAGTGGAGCCACAACCCCAGCCCAAGCCTTGTACAACCAGAAAATAGTGGTACTGTAAAATCTCCAAGTCAACGCATAATAAATTAAAGGGAGTATGAAGTTAATATTCTTGCTCCACAAATGCAAACACGCCTTTGACCCCAGCACTTAGTAGACAGAGACAGGTGGATCTCCACGAGTTCAAAGCCAGCCTGATCTACATAGTGAGTTCTAGACAGCCAGGGCTATAAAGTAAGATCCTGTCTGAAAAATCAATAACTTGCTAGACTTTGGTTTCACTCATTATGGGGGGAAAAAAAATCAAGCCATTTCCTAGAAGCACACGTAGCATTATTCCTAATTTGCCCAGTGGACCAGCCTCATAACTTTATTAGACACGCTAACAGTTTAGCACCGCTTTCAACCTGACTGAAAGAATCGACACAGGTATACCTGAGACGATGGAGCCTTACAACTCACCTTCCTCTTGTTGTGATACGCAACATACACAACAGCTGCACAGAAAGCGAAGATGAGGAGGTGAAAGAAGAAATGGCTGTCCTCTCGGTTTGGGGGCGGGAGCTTCACCACCTTCACCGAGTCCTCGAACAGCTGGAAGCGCCTGTCCGCTTTGCTCAGCTCTAGGTTTAGATTATCATCAGGCTCCTCGTCCCGGGGGTTGGTGGTCCAGTCATAGTCAGGCTCTCCATAGTCACTATTGTCCAGAGTGTCTTTGACTGTGGATGGGGAACTGTTGAGGGCCAGAAGATCCTCCTCCTCCATGCTGGGGTCTTCATTGCTTTCAGCCTCGTCCTGGGACACAGAAGGAGAAGCAGAGGGGGTGGGTGCCACAGAGGTGCCTCCATTTTTCTCTGTACTGGCTGGGGGAGAAACAGTGGTGCTGATCTGGGAAATAGAAGGTTCGGTGTTGTTTCCAGTTGTCAGCACAGCTGGAGGAGAAACAGTGGGGTCATGTGGAGTGTTCTCTGGAGTATCTGAAAAACAAAAGCACCCCGACATTGCCAACCTTTGCTTTACTAATAGAAAACAGTATTTATCAAATTTTTCACTAAGCATTTCTCCTGAGTATAATAAATTCCTACAGCTTTCCCTTAAGATCTAGTTAAGTCTCAATGACCAGCATTAAATTACATTTCTTCTTGGGCAATTAATCTCAGATAACAATCGCTTTGCTCAGTAACACCTTGAACCAGTAAGGGACCCACTGCGGCGGCGGCGGCACAGCCTGCTACCCCAAGAGCAAGTAAGCATCTGATTTCAGGTCAGGCAAAGTCAGCACAGACCCCAGCCCACCCCTACTGTTTCCCTTTACCAAAGACTGGACTTCAGTCAGCCTTGTCCAGGCTCCACCTCATCCCCATAGCAGAAAGAGAGGAGGCTAATCCTGGGTCAAGTGGGTCACAAAAATCAATTGCCACACACACAAAATCTGGAACTAAGTACACTATAAAACAAGTACTTAGAAACTGCCTTTTGCTAAAAATCACTGACCCCTCAACTAGAGCTCTGGTCAAAAGCCTTCCCTTTTCTGTGTCCTGCTTCCCTCTGCAGGTTGGTAGGGCAAGCACTCAAGGACATGTCTGTGAGTCTGTCATCCCCTTCAAGGC